ATCGCAACTAAGTCTAGAACTGTACGTTCACCAATATTTACTTGACGTTTACCATCTTGTGATTTGCCTGTGTAAATTTTACCATGCAAAGGGTAAGCATTTGCTGCATCGCAAGCCCAAAAAACCTTTATTCCATATTTTGCAGATTTAGATGGAATGTACTGTGTAAATTTTGTGTGTCCTCTGTAAGGAAATAATTGTTCGTCTACTGTTATATTTTCTGTAGGTTTATAATTTTTATGTAAGTTTTTATTGAGCATGTCCAAATATCACGAATCGGTGCAGCTTTGTCTGTTGTAATACGTATATTACGAGTGCATTGCAGCTCGAATAAGAGGTAACGAGTCTAATTTCCACATTTCTGAAACATGTTATTTATTAGATCTATGTACACCAGATACGAGAAGAATTACATATAATAAGATATAAAGCGATAGACTGACGACAATGAAATAATTTACCGGAAAAGCACAGATAACTATATTGTAGGTACCCGGGTACCTACACCGTCACAAGAAGTTGTTTTTTTTTCAGTCACATAAAGGTTAAAGTAAAGTAAAGAAGTTTTTTTTTTTATAATAAAAATAAATCGTAAATTAAAATAAAATTAACAGTAAAATTAGGTATTGGCTATAATTTATTATTTTTAATAAATTAATGAATTTAAAAATTAAAAATATTTAAAAAATAAATTTATTAAAATAAAATAAGTTTATAATTGGAAAAATCTACATACCTTGTGTAGAAGACGATTGAGCTTGCTGGTTCATGCTTTTATTTATACGTGTAACTTATTAAATAATAAATTTCTGGTTTTCAAAAAGACAACTGCACGTCAATGATAATTAAAAACTAATGTGGCAGGACAAGAAGTGTTTAACCGGTTATATAGTAAAGAATAAAATACGTAGGCGTGAAACACATCCAGTGGTGTCATTTTTATCATAAAATGCATACGACAGTGATCATTACTGTACGGTGATACCTTTGATGTTGGAAATATGCTTACCTAAGCGTCTGGTAGTCGATGATAAAATTTTTAGAAATTATAGCTGTACATTTAATATTAATAATACACAGACAGCGATACAATTTTTTTCCATAAAGTTACAGACGCTTATGATGGTTATAATAATGTAATACCTTTGATATTGAATACATACTTACCTAAGTGTCTGGTAAACGGTAATAAAATTCTGAGAAATTATAATACCATAACGACAAACGTTGCCATTATTCTCATAAAATCCATACGATAATGATCATTACTGTATGGCGACATCTTTAATGTTGAAAAATATGCTTACCTAAGCGTCTGGTGGTCGATGATAAAATTCTTAGAAATTATAACGATAAATTTAATAATATACAGACAGCGGCACAATTTTTTCCTCATAAAATTACAGACTCTTATGAGCGTTATAATATAATGATATCTTTGATGTCGGACATATGCTTACCGAAGCGTCTGGTTTACGTTGGGTTTCATTATCTCCCTCCCCCCGCATTAGGTTAGTTTACATAAGGTTTCGTCGTTCCCCCTCCCATTACATAGGTTAGTTTACGTTGGACTTAATCCCCCCCGTACACATCCTCCACACCCACCTGTAGGAAGGTGAGTGAGTCAGGCGGGGGGTTCCAAAGTCCCCTATATTACCCTACTTTCATATGAAAATTATTTTATTATGTGATTTTTTTTTTGTGGCTCTCATTTATTTTCTCAGCACTCTAGTTACTTAGCCTACATTATCTATATAGACAATTAAAATGTATCATTTCAAATGTTTTTTAAGTATTTATTTTTGAATTAGATTTGAAATGATAATAGGTTTCAAGTATAATATTAAATAATTTTACCTTGTAATATAATCATTAGTCTATAATATTCCAAAATTTTTAGTAACATGTTGCTATATAAATCATAAATAAAAAAAAATATATTTTTAGTTTCACCTTAACTTAATAATTAATTTTTACAATTATAATCAAATTTTATAATATGCTGAACTGATTATATTTTTTAACAACTTTTTGATTGTTTTAGCTTCGATGGGAAGCTGAGAAGGTATTAATTTTACTATGATGTGTTTTTTTTTTTTTTTTTTGTCTGTTGCCACTTTTTCTCAGCTCTCACTGGATCGATTTCTTTCAAAAATACGTCAAAAGATCACAAATCGTATCTAGTTGAAGACATTACCCTGAAAAATTTAAAAAAATTTCCTTGTTCCCCGCAAATGGGGGAAATATCCAAAAAAATTACAAATTTAAAAATCGCTAATTTTTGAAATTTTTTCACTTTTTTTTCTTAAAACTTCCATAACTTTTTGAAAAATCAACAAATCAACANTTTAAAACTTCCATATCTTTTTGAAAAATCAACAAATCAACATAATTTTTTTTATACTAAAACCTTAGATATTTACCTTTCATTTGATATCATTTTTTTGAAAATCTATTCCTTAACCTGCTCATTGGGGGGGATTTAAAATGGCAACTTTTTTACAAAAATTAATTTTTTCAACTTAATTTTTGAAAATGTTCCGGAAATACTGCGTCCTTTAAACATATATCAAATTAAAGCTTATTTTATGTACTACAAAATGAAAAAAAAAAATTTGTCCCGACACTTTTTTTTCTACATTTAAACGGCTGCCGTAGTTAAAAAAACACTATTTTTGTGTTAAAATTTTCGATTTTCGATTTTAAATTTTCAACTTAAAAATGCTATAACTTTTTGAAAAATGTATATATCAGCACAAATTTTTTTTTTTTAGATACATTATAAGTACATCTTTCATTTGACATAATTTTTATTAAAATTGGACAATTTCCTCTTATATAGGGGGCGTTCAAAACTTAAAATATTGTAAAAAACATAGATCTTTTTCAACTTAATTTTTGAAAATGTTCCGGAAATACTGCGTCCTTTAAACATATATAAAATTAAATCTTATTTTATGTACTATAAATTAAAAAAAAAAAAATTGTCCCGACACCCTATATACTATGTGCAAATGGCTGTCGAAAATTTAAAAAGAAATGTAATGTTTGCGATAAAAACTACCTTTTATCGGGATGTTTTTTGTACTTAAAACTGCCATAACTTTTTCAAAAATGAACAAATAAAAATAATATTTTTTTGTATTGAAACCTTAGATATTTCCCTTTCATTTGATATAATTTTTTTTGAAAATCTAACACTTATTCTGCTCACTGGGAGGATTTAAAATAGTAACTTTTTTACAAAAAATAACTTTTTCAACTTAATTTTTGAAAATGTTCCGGAAATACTGCGTCCTTTAAACATATATAAAATTAAAGCTTATTTTATGTACTACAAAATGAAAAAAAAAAATTTGTCCCGACGATCTATCTTCTATACGCAAATGGCTACCATATTGAAAAATATGCTATTTTTGTATGAAAATTATGGGTTTTGTATTTTATTTTAATAGAAGTTGATGTTGCTTTTGCAATTATCCATCAATTTTTTTAAATTAAACACTATCTACAGATTTGCATCGAAGCGTTTCTTATGATAGTGATTTTAATCACTGTCAGATTAAATCTATACTAAACTATGCAATGTCTCCACTATGCCGCGACCCCACTGTGCTACTGTTTTTTTTTTAGTTAAAGTAAAACATTAATATTAATTAAGTTAAAAAATCACCATTTTTATGAAATTATTAGTAATTAGAAACACATGAAAAATTTTTTTATCAAATTATTAATCATTTTTAATATATGCTAAATTTAAATTCAAAATTACATATTTAACTTATTTTTGTTTCTTTTAAATTGATTTTTATCAAAGCTTATAATTTAAAAATATTGAAATTTTAAACACAATTTTAGCTCAACTTGAAACTTTAGAATTTATATCATTAATTAGAAAATTTTATGAAGAATAAAATATTTTTTTCTTTAAATGTATGTGTAAAGAAAATTATTTTATTAGTATTAACAGTAAATTTATGAGGAAAACTCAAAATTTTGTTAAAAATGTTTTATTGTAACAAATTGTTTAAACAGAAGTTTTATTAAGCATTTATATGGAACACTTGGTGTATCATTAGTTATTTTTATTGATATACTTCACATAATACATTCTGTTTAATAAATTTTTGTTTAATTAAATTATACCTATTAGTTATTTATAGTTAACATAATAATCAAACATAAATAATTGTTATATTAATTAGAAGGATTTTGTTATTATTTAGTACATATGTGAAAATTTAATTGCAGATTTGAAATAGACGCAAAACTGGGTATAGAAAAGCATATTTTGGTTTCTCATGATCTTGTAGACCAATAAATTTATTTATAAGTAACATACAATTTTTTTTGAAAATATTTGCATCAAGCCCTTTAAAATTTATACATAAAAGTAATATCTACTTAATAGTTTTTTACAAATTCTTCGAAAAAATTAAAATACTAAATTATTAAATATCAATCTAATTCTATATTTAATTGCTATAGTAAATATTTATTGATATATTATACTTCTAAATAAAAAAAATTCTAATCAGGAATAATAAAGGAAATGGAATTAATTATGCTTTTGGTATAATCCACCAACTTCTTAAAATTAAACCTAGAGATTTGCGTCAAAGTGTTCTTATAAAAGTAATTTTAACACAGTTAGATATCATCTATATTTGTTCTAACTATGCCACGTCCACACTGTGCTACCGTTTTTTCCTTTATTATAATTGAAAATTTACTATAATTTCCAAAAAAAAATGAATTTTTTTATCCTTAACTGACGCGCATCTCCTCGGGATCGAAACTTGTTACGTACGGCTCATTTGACGAACGAGAGATCAGTTCTATAATTGGAGACACCATCTCTCTCTCCGGTGACAGACCAACCAGGACCGTGCCAGAGTATCAATGGTTAAGAAACTTCTCCTTTGGGGGAGGCCACTATGGCCCTCAATGGGCTTATAAAGCGATAAAAAAAAATAATAATATAACCAAATAATACTCACCTTTGTTAAAAACCAAACATGATATTAACAACAATACCGATGTAATTTGACAATTCTACAATAAAATAAAATAATCTTTTAGATTACAATCAAGCACTTTAAGTAAAGAGTATTACTCACCTTCATTTTTACTATAAGTGTTAAATTCTGAATAACAAATGACAATTTTTTGGTTATATGGGCATAACTCATGTACAGTTTATATATATATATATATACAGTCGATGAAATAATTAATTTTTTATATATTTAAATTTTAAAAGAACATCTTAAGTAAATATTTAAGTATACTTATAAAAAATTTTTTATTTTTAGACAAACTATTCATACAAATTTGAATACATTAGCTAAATCAATAGAAAAGACACTATCTTCATTTTAAAAAAAAAAGAGATATTATAAATATAATTTTATTCTTATATTTTATTATGTTAAAATAAAATCACACTATGCTATAAGAATGTAATAATAATAATAAAAAACCCAGCACAGTGGAATCGCGGCATGGTGGGGACATAGGATAGTTGGATCCAGTATAGATTTAATCTGACAGTAATTAAAATCATTATCATAAAAAACGCTTTGATGTGAATCTGTAGTTTTTAATTCTAAGAAATTAATGAATAATTACAAAAGCAATATCAACTTCTATTTCCTTAATTATATCTAGATTAGCGATTCTTAGATTCAAAAATATAAATTATATATGTATATAATTATATATTACATCATTTTTATAATGAATTATGATTAAGTTATTATTGATTTTGATTTTTAATATATAAAAAATTTATTATTTTTAACCTATATTTTTTTGTTCTTTAAGAGAAAGTTTATAATAAAAAAAAAATGAATTTATTATCATAATATTTAGATCAATTTGCAAGTTTGAAATTGACATCATTAAATAGCAAAATTGGTATTGTTCAATTAATATGCAGTCAGGAAATTTATTATTTATTTTTTATTAATTACTAGTTATAGTAAATTTATAAAAAAACTTCGATTTTTTGCATTTTTATCGTAATAGATCACTTAAATAAAAATCATAGTAATCATATCTAAGTAACTTTTGGTGTTTAAAAATATTCTACAAATAAAATATTCAGAATTTAATTAATTTTAATGATTTACTTTAACTAAATGAATCAATAAAAAAACCCAGCACAGGGATGGTGATGTGGCATAGTTGGTTTAAGTATAATGATATCTGACAGTGATTAAAATCACTATCATAAAAAACGCTTCAATGCAAATATTTAGATAGTTATTAATTTTAAAAAATTGGTGGATTATTCCTAAAGCTACATGATCTCCTAATTCCTTAATTATATCCTGATTAAGATAAAGTTAAAAATGTAAAATATAAAATCGCGTTTTTTTTATTATTAAGCTGTATACTTTAATACCGCTCTCGTATATAAAATAAACGCAAATCAATTTTCATACTTTACATCTTATTTTAAATTTATTTAATATCATTTAGTAATAAATGATCACGACCGAATATATGAAAAAGAAAAACAATGGGAATTGATTTCCCATGTCGATCGATTCAGAAAGCTTTGTACTTCGATCACCACCGTCGACCATCGTAGACAACATTCGTTAGCAGCTGAACGGTTATCGAACATCTGTCTGCTGATAGGCAAAGACAAGAAAACTAGGGTGGAACAAAATATTGAAAATGTTGATAATTAAATTCTAATAGAAAAAAAGTTGCAGTTTAGTCTCCTCATTATGGGAAAAATAATTTTTTTTTAATATCTTCAGGTTCTGCAAGAGAATTGAAAATTTGACTGTGAGAGTCAAAATCAAAATCAAAAAATAAAAATTAAGTTTTTTGAACTCTATAACTCAATTATAACAATTAAGTTTGATAAAAAAAATGATACACACAACACAAATAATAAACAATTAAATTCTAAACAATTTTTATACAACACATTTTTTCTGTATGTTGAATATTTCGTCTGCAATATATAAATAAACTAATAAAAACAATTTCAACAGTAAAGATAAAATATGATTTTTTTCTAATTTTGATAACTAAGCATTATAGATGCGGTTTTTTTGCTAATAACAATTTTTAATGGTAAATATTTAGTTCTATAATTTTTCCTGTGAATAGTATAGATTAAAATATAAGTGAAAAAACGAAAAAATACCCTCACAGTAAAATTTTCAACCCTCTTTCGGTACCGGAAGATATTAAAACAAAATATTGTTTTTCCATAATCAGCAGCCTAACTTCAACTTTTT